GGAGCGAGGAAGAGCATGTCTCCAGGAGTGAGCGTGACGGTCCCGTTCGTCGCGGTAAAGGCGACCCGTCCTTCAAGGCACTGCACGGTAATCTCCGCGGGCGCTCGGTGTTCGGGGAGGACCTTTCCGGCGAGCAAGACCAGCCGTAAGACTTCTAGGTCGCCCGACTTGAGCAGCGTGCGGGTTCTCGACTCGGCGATCTGCTCTTTAAGAGGGCGGACGCTGATGATCTCTCCGGGCTTGGCGTGGGGGATACTCATTCTCGTTCCTCAAGTCTTCAGGTTTGGCTTGACAAGAGTTTTGGTTGAGAGGCCGGAATGCTATCCCGCCAAAGCGGACGGCGCCGTCCGTAATTCGTCTTTCGGGCCGAAGAATTCGTAATGCATCCGGTTGGCTTCGACCCCCAACTCCACCAAGCTGCTGAATACGCTCTGCATAAACGGCCGCGGGCCGCAGAAGTAGAAATCGGCGGACGCAACCGGCGCCCAGTCACTCAGCAGATGGGCGCCGATAACACCCTCGAGGTCGCAACGGCCGTGGCTCAAATCGTCGGCGAGCGGCTGGTCGTACACCACGAGCGTCTTCACGTTGGGCCTTCCCTCCGCAAGCTGCCGCACCTCGTTGGCGAACGCATGGGTTCGGCTGTTTCGCGCCGCTTGCAGGAAGTAGATGGGCGTCGAGGGGCTGGTGTGAACGAGCGACTTGAACATCGACAGCAAGGGCGTTACCCCGATCCCACCCGCGAGCAGAACAACGGGTCGGGTTCCCGTTGTTGCCGGGTCGAGGGTGAAGACGCCGCAAGGGGGGCCCACTTCGATCTGGTCCCCAGGCCGCACCGCGTCGTGCAGATAAGCCGAGATCAATCCGTCGGGAGCGTTCTTTGTGAGGGGGCCTTCGCGTTTAACGCTGATCCGGAAGTGCCCAACGCCAGGCCGGTCGGAGAGGCTGTAGTTGCGAGGCGAGGTGGGCGTCGTCGGGTGCTCCGCTCTCACGGTGATGTACTGCCCGGGCAGAAAATCGGGCAACGGTCGGTCGTCGGCCGGTCGCAAGTAGAACGACGTGATCACGTCGCTCTCGATTTCCTTGCGTTCGACGGTCAGAGGCCGGTAGTCGTTCCAGCCGCCAAGCGCGGCGCGCTGCTGATCGTAGATTTGCTGTTCCCGCCCGATGAAAATATCCGCGAGGAATTGATACGCCTCGGCTACCGCCGCTACCACTTCGTCGTTGGCCGCTTCGCCCATGACGTCCTGGATGGCGGCGAGCAGGTGCTTGCCAACAATGGGGTAGTGCTCTGGCTTGATCCCCAACGAGCAGTGCTTCTGCGCGATGAGTTCTACCGCGGGCCCGAGTGCGTCGAGGTCGTCGATATGAGCGAAGTAGGCGTAGATAGCGCCCGCGAGCGCTTTTTGCTGCCCGCCGGTGTGTTGGTGGGCCTGATTGAAGTAAGCCTTGACCTCCGGGTTTTCCCGGAACATCCGCTCGTAGAACCGGCGCGTAATGGTCTCTGCGTTGGCGGCGACGGCGGGGGTGATCGCTTTGACTATGGCGACGGTCGTTTCACTTAGCACAGCGGAAGCTCCTCAATATCGGTTGATTTCACCTACATAGGCCGATAAACTCTTATCTACACCAAAGCGTATAGCATTCTATTCTGCACGTCAAGGTGTAGATAACGCGCTGGAAATTTAGGGAGGCTTCGTGCTGTCGAAAACCCATGAATACGCCCTCCGGGCGGTGACGTTCTTAGCGGGTCGCAAGGGCACCCCGGCGGCGGCTGACCTGGTCGCAGAAAAGACAAAAGTCCCTCGTCGCTATCTAACGCGGGTGTTGCAGGACCTCGTCGGCGCAGGGCTTGTCTTGTCGCGCAGCGGGCCCCGAGGCGGATACGAACTGGCGCCCAATGCCGAGCAACTCACCATCCTCGACATCGTCAACGCCGTGGCGCCGTTAGAGCGCATCCGGAGCTGTCCGTTGGGGCTTCGCACTCACACGCAGCTTTGTCCGTTGCATGCTCAACTAGACAAGGCGTACGAGGCAACCCAGACGGCTTTGAGTCAGGTCACGATCGAGGAGTTGGTGAATTCGACGAGCCCGATCGTGCCCCTGTGCGAATTCTCGGACGGCGAGCTCTGCAAATGACCTGCGACCTCGGATCGAGCGCGCCCGATTGGCTGATTGATTACCCCCGGACGGCGGGCGTGTTCAAGAAATACCGGCTGGACACCAGCTGCGGGGGGACTTCGGTGCATTATCTCTGCACCCGTCTAGGTCTGAACGTCCACGCGGTGTACGAAGAGCTTCTGGAGGCGGCGAAAGCAGGGGTGGGCGACGGTCCGCGTCCGGCCGGTTGAAGCGTTTCCTCACCCGACCGCGGGGCCAACTCCCTTCGGTGTGGGCCATCCTCCTCCCGCCTCTGGGCGTCCCTTTCCGATCACATCGACTTCTCACTCTGCGAGCTGATGCGAAGCGACTCTCCTTCGAAATCGACCATGGATGGTCTCCCAGTCTCCCCGGCGCTGGATGTCGTCGCCCAATCGGCTCAAGTGCCCCGCTACCATGCGACGGTAGACCGCCGTGTGGTTTGGCTTGCCGCCCTCTCCGTCCTCCTCGGCTGCGCAGCGGCGCTGTTGGCCCAAGTGCTTGTCGCGTTGATCGCGTTGATCACGAACCTCTCATATTTCGGCGAGATCTCGCTAAAAGACCGCGCCCCCGCCGAGGCCGTCCCTGCGCTGGGGCCGCTGTCGATCGTGATCCCGATCGTCGGAGCGCTTATCGTCGGACTTCTTGCCAGGTACGGCTCGAAGGCCATCCGCGGCCACGGCATCCCCGAAGCGATGGAGCAAGTCCTCACCAACGATAGCCGCATCCCTGCGCGGGTCACGTTTCTGAAGCCCCTCTCGTCGGCCATCTCAATCGGAACCGGAGGGCCGTTCGGCGCCGAAGGCCCCATCATCGCAACCGGCGGCGCGTTGGGATCGGTGCTCGGTCAATTCCTCAGGGTCACGGCGGCCGAACGAAAGACGCTCCTGGCGGCCGGCGCAGCAGCGGGGATGGCGGCGACGTTCGGGAGCCCCGTGTCCGCGGTGCTGCTGGCGGTGGAACTGTTGCTCTTCGAGTACCGGCCCCGCTCGATCATCCCCGTCGCCCTCGCGGCATCAGCGGCGACGGGGGTGCGTATGGCGTTCGACGGAAGCGACCCGGTGTTCGCCATGACGGAGCTATCTCAGCCTTCGGGTTCGGCGCTCGCCTTTTACATCCTTCTCGGCGGGGTGATGGGCCTCGTCTCGGTCGCGGTGACCCGAACGGTTTACGCCATTGAGGATGGCTTTGAGAAGCTGCCGTTCCACTGGATGTGGTGGCCCGCCATGGGGGCGGTTGTCGTCGGCGTGGTCGGCTACTTTGCGCCCGACACGCTCGGCGTCGGTTACTACAACATCAGCGCCATCCTTTCCAACCAGCTGCCGGTGACAGCCGTGGTGTTCCTTTGCGCCATGAAGTTTCTCTCCTGGTCGGTCTCTCTGGGGAGTGGAACTTCCGGGGGAACCCTTGCGCCGCTGTTCACAATCGGCGGCGGCATCGGCGTGGTCCTCGGTTCACTTGCTGCCAGCCAATGGCCGGGCTTGGCCGTCGATCCACGTCTCGCTGCTCTAGTCGGGATGGCGGCGATGTTCTCGGGGGCGTCCCGAGCGATGCTGGCCTCGGCCGTCTTCGCCTTCGAGACCACTCTCCAGCCGTTCGGCTTATTGCCACTGCTGGGCGGCTGTGCCGCGGCCTACCTAATCGCTTCGTTGACGATGCGAAACTCGATCATGACCGAGAAGATCGCTAGGCGTGGCGTGCAGACCCCGGCGGAATATACGGCAGATTCTCTAAGTCGTGTCCTTGTCCGCGATATCGCGACACGGGACGTTGTCACGATCCAAGCCGACGCCACCCCGGCGGCTGCCCTTGTGCTTCTTGACACCGCCAACTCCGAGGCGACGCACCAAGGCTATCCGGTACTCAACGCCGAAAGTGGGCTGGTGGGAGTGGTCATGCGGCGGGACCTGGAGCGGGCGGCGAGCGAAGAGCAGCAAAGCGTTGCTCCACTCATCGTGAAGCCGGTGCGTTACGTCTACGACGACTGCACCGTGCGACAAGCCGCTGAGCATATGGTCAACCACCGGGTAGGCCGGCTCCCCGTTATGAGCCGCCAAACACCACCCCAACTCTTAGGGATCATCACGAGAAGCGACATTCTGTCGGTTCTTCAAAACCAAATTCGCGACGTTGAGTTGCAGGCGCCGACACTCCGGCTCGGGGGCGGTTGGTTACGGACACTCAGCCCATCGGAGCCGGTGGCTCGCGAGGACTAACCCCCGTCATTGCTGCGGCGCTGAGACCTTAACGGACCACGACCCCGGAGCACGCCGTGACGCCTGGTCGCGGTTCTCGATCCCTGTAGGCAAAGAACCTCCGCTGACCGCAGAAACGGGTTGTGCAGAGGCGTTCGCCGTGTCCCCCGCGCTGTTTCCGTCGGCAGTGACGCCTGCCGGCGACACTGTCAACCACCGCTGACGCGTGATTGGTTGGTTCGAGCGGACTGACCGCCGATAGGTCCTGGAATTTTGCCCCTCGCAGCGATCTTAAGAGTGGAGTTCGAGATGCAGTGTGATCGGCACACCGGTTGCAACCCTGTCAGCCTTAGGCCCGGATACTCCCTACCGCAGGCAGCATCGCATGGAAAATAGAGGCTACAAAGAGCTCGTCTCAGACCTCAAATCCAACGCGCTACTGTTTCTATTCTTGTTGGCGGCGATCGTGCTTCGCTTTGTGATGACACGATGAACCGAGCGCCCGGGGCGTCATGGGCTGATCAACCAATCGCTTACAACAACACAGGAAATATATCGTGGTCGCCCAACGGGTTATCACCAGCCTCGATCGGTTTCGGCTGGGCAACATGCTAGATTGCCGCGAAACGCGGCCCCTAGCGACCGCCGAGGTTCTTGATGAACTGGCTTGGCGCCTCGAAGAAGCGGTCGCCGTGCCGCCTCAGAAGCTGCCCGCTAACGTAGTCTCGATGAACTCGGTTGTTAGGCTCGTCGATGACAGCGCTAGCCGAGAGCTGGTTTGCACCGTTGTCTACCCGGCGGAAATGGACCTCGTCGATAAGGGAGTTTCGGTGCTTGGACCAATCGGAGCCGCGCTCGTCGGCAACGAGGTCGGCGACTTGGTAGAATGGTGGGACGGCGAAAACCCTGGCCGGTGGCGCATCGCCGAGATTGTTCGTCAGCCCGAGCAGGATGGCGATTTCTACCGATAACGTCTCCGCTGGCCCTTTCCGTCCGCAATGCCAAACAACCACCCCGATAGCGTACGTACTCCGGCCTTGCAGAGCGACGCCCTCAGCAGCGCACAACTGAGCGAGGGGCACTTCCGCGCCGTCGCCAGTTGCACCTCCGACTGGGAGAGTTGGCACGCTCCCGACGGGCGGCTCGTGTGGGTGAACGCCGCCGTCCAGCGGATCACCGGGTACAGCCCCGACGAATGCCTGGCAATGAGCGACTATCCGTTGCCGATGACCGCCCCGCGGCACCGCCCGCGCATCGCTCGGATGCTTGAACAGGCGCAGGTGGGACAAGCCCACAACGATCTCGAATTCCAAACGCTGAACCGGGATGGAACCGCCCGCTGGATGGCGGTCTCGTGGCAGCCGATGTACACCGACGACGGCGTTCATCTAGGGTTTCGCACGAGCATTCGAGATGTCACTCAGCGGCGCGAACTACGAGAAGAAATCCGCCGCCACGCGGAGCACCTGGAGCAGCTTGTGCAGGAACGCACGGCCCGGGTCCAACAGTTGGAACGCCATCGACGGCAGATGGAGAAGGCCGCTGCTCTAGGTCAGCTCGCCGCCGGCGTCGCGCACGAGATTAACAACCCGCTGGCCGGGATACGCAACGCGTTCGAGCTGATCAAAGCCGATCTTACGCCGGACCACGAGCATTTCGGCTTACTAGAACTCGTCGACCGAGAAATCGAACGGATCGCCTCGATCGTCCACCAGATGTACCAGCTCTACCGGCGAAACCCCCAAACGCCGGTCCACTTCGAGATCGAGCAAACGGTGTCGGAGGTCGTTTGGCTGCTCGATAGTGTCGCGCGAAAGCACCAGGTTGAGTTGAAGATGTCAGGGCCTAGTGCGCCCACCCCGGTCTTCCTCCCCGAGGGCGAAGTTAAGCAGGTGCTCTACAACCTGATCCGCAACGCTATTCAGGCCTCATCAGCGGGCGATCGGGTCGAGATCCATATCACCGCCGAACGGGAAGATGTCTGCATCGCTGTGTCCGATTGCGGTGAGGGCATCAGCGAGGAACTGCTTCCGCTCTTGTTCGATCCGTTCTTTACGACGAAGGCGGGTGAACCCGGGATGGGTATGGGGCTGGGATTGTCGGTGTCACGAAGCCTCGTCGAAGCGATCGGCGGGGCGATTGACGTAGAGACGGTCATCGGCAAAGGCAGCCGCTTCACGGCCATACTTCCGAGGCAGATGACGACCCTGGTCGCCCAAACGAATGAGTGATACGCCAAAACGCCGGATCCTCGTTGCCGACGACGAGCCGCTCTTCCTGCAAACGACCGGTGATCTCTTGCGCCGCGCGGGATACGACTGCGTGTGCGTCTCCGACGCCTTTGCTGCGATCGACGCACTCGACCACGAACCATTCAACCTCATCCTTTCGGACCTCAATATGCCCGGCAACCTCCGTTTGGAGCTGCTGAGGCACGGCCGCGAGCGGTGGCCGCACGTCCCTTTGATCGTAGTGACCGGCGCGCCGTCGCTGCCCAGCGCCATTGAGAGCGTCCGACTGGGCATCACCGATTACCTCCTTAAACCGGTCAAGTACCAAGATCTGCTCGCGAGCGTGGAAGCGGCGCTCAGCCGCCCGGTCGATCGGCGGAGCCCCCCGGAACGGGGTCCGGAGGAGCAACTCGCGCTCGCCGAGCGTTTCCCGGAGATCATCGGCCGGAGCCCCAAAGTGCTGGAGCTCTTCGATGTGCTGGATCGCGTCGCCGGGAGTGACGCCAATGTGCTTATCACCGGCGAGAGCGGAGCGGGGAAAGAAGTGATCGCACGCGCGATCCACCGGCTTAGCCCGCGGGGAGCAAGAAATTGCCAAGTGATCGACTGCACGGCCCTCCCCGAACAACTGTTCGAGTCGGTGCTCTTTGGCCATGTCAGAGGCTCCTTCACGGGTGCGATCAAGGACCAACAGGGTTTGCTGGCGCAGTGCGATGGGGGAACGGCGTTTTTCGACGAGATCGGCGAGTTGCCGGCGCCCCTCCAGGCAAAGCTGCTCAGAGCCGTCCAAGAAAAGGCCTTTACCCCGGTTGGCGGCAGCGCCCAGGTGCGAGTGGATACACGCTTCATCTGCGCGACCAATCGGGACTTGGAATTAGAGGTCAGCTCCGGGCGATTTCGGCGGGACCTCTTCTACCGACTAGCGGTGATCCACATCGAAGCGCCTCCGCTGCGGGAGCGTAACGGCGATGCGGCGTTGCTCGCCGAGCACTTTCTTAAGAAGCTAGCGCCACCGGGCTCGGCGCCGAAGTCCTTCTCTGCTGAAGTGCTCGACTGCTTCGCGCGCTACCCATGGCCGGGGAACATCCGTGAACTGAGGAACGTGGTCGAAAGAGGTCTGGCTCTCGCTCGCACGGATACCGTTGAGATGGAGGACTTGCCCAAAGCACTGCGGCAGAGTTCGGACCCGGCGGGGGCGGCGGGCGCGAGCAAGGGTCCTTCGCCTTCGCGCGACGCCGCGATGGAACAAGCCGAGCGAGCCTACCTCGTGGCGATCTTGCAAGAACACGTTGGTAACGTCTCTTCCGCCGCTCGACACGCCGGTATGTCTCGGCAAGGCATGCACAAGCTACTGATGAAGCACGGCATTGTCGCCGCCGAGTACCGTGTCGGCTGACGAGCGCGCTCCTCACATCTCCCCACCACTCACGCAGCCAGGTGTAGCGATGACATCGGCGCGGCTCGCTCGCTACTCAATCGCGGGGGCAACAATGGGGTGTAGGTACTGGAGGTAGAGGAGCACGATCGCGGGCGCCATGCCCATCAACATGAATACAAAGACGTACCGCACCACCATGGCCGTTTCTTCCTGGTCGGTCACCTGAGGCGCGACGACCGTGGGCGGGCGCTCCCCGATCGATCTTCGACCTCCAAGCCGGTCGGGTCCGGCGGCGAGCTCATCAACACTCCGCAGTGTCGGGACGACGGGTTCGACTTTAGGCATGTCCGGCCTCTCCGAGATCACGCTGGGACAGGGACGCTTGCCAGAGCAGCAGAGCAATAACCGGACCAGAGCCCTGAGTGGCGGGAGCTGAACAGCTAGAACCCGCGTTCTCGCTGTTCTCCCAAGCGTCCAGGCCTTCGTCGTCATCATCTCGACGCAAGGCCGTCAATCACGTTGCATTGCACATGCGTCAACGCCTATCGACACTGCAAACCGCCGTTGACATCTAATTCATGACGTACTCATCGGCACGAGAGGCGTCGCGTCGATAGGCCCCGCGACCGCGGGTGGGGACTCTTATCAAAGAGCCTATATAGATCGAGCAGTTGGCGATCGATACGAACCGTACGCCAGGAAACGAGAGCGTTGGTAATTCGGAAACGTCATTGTCGCTCGGGAAGCGCGAATGGCGCCCGACTTGCTCTCTACCAATCGTGAAGGTCCCGACAGCGTGGGAGGATCGTGAGCGCGTTCTCCGGAGGATTACACTGATGTCGTTACGGTCGCCACGAACTCGTCGCGTGTGGCTACGGCTCCTACATTCAACTATCGTTGAACGGACGCATGGTCGACTAAAAGATTTACATATTGAACACGAGGGCGACCGAGTTCTTCTTAGTGGTCGGTGCGATTCTTACCATGTGGTTCAACTGGCTCTATCGGCGGCGGAGTCGGTACTGAATGAATCACTGGCGCCCGTTCTGTCCTGGGCCGTGTTGGTGAAGGGTCGTCCGCTCCTACTCGGTCAACGTGCCGGCAATCTTACGGAAGTGGCTTTGTCGCCCCCTTCCACATTGAAGAGCGTGGCGTCGAAACGCGTTGCTGTTACTGCAAGCCGGCAAGAATTCCCCTTCTCACCCTTACCAACCCATCATGACGCTCAACGTCACGCATCGGTCTAGCTCTGACACCCCGACAGACACTGAAGCCCCCAACATGAAGAACCATGGAATCATCATAAGCACGGTCGATCGCGAGCGGTTGGAGCGTCTTCTCTTTGGAGAGCTCGCGCAAGCCATCAGTGAGAAGGGTTACTTGCTGGATTTGCAAGGCGAGTTGCAACGGGCTCGAACGGTTGATCCGAGCGTCGTTCCCGCCGATGTCATTACGATGAACTCGACCGTTCGGCTTCGGGACAACGATTCCGGTGAAGAGGAGACTTTTACGCTGGTCTACCCCCGAGACGCCAACATTGCCGTCAATCGACTGTCCATCTTGGCGCCGATTGGCACCGCGATCCTAGGCTGCCGTGTCGGCGATGTGGTCCAATGGCGGGTGCCAAGCGGCACGCGATGCCTGACGGTGGAGGAAGTCCTTTATCAACCAGAGCGGGAGGGCTCGCTACATCTGTAGGTGTTCGACCGACGCGGTGTCAGACGGCGGCCACAGGCCGTCCGCTCTTGAGATTGCGACACCTGACGCCACTCGCCCATGCCTAGGCGGTTGCTCGGGTCCGCCCCCACGCAACAGCGGAGGCGGTCAAGCGAATCGGATGCGATCGCGAGTTGCCGTTGGGTTGAAGCGGGTGAGGAGAGCTCTTCGATTTCGTCGGCAGGCAGATCAATCGATCGGTAGCGGTTGCGCGTCCGTCGAAGTGCGCAGCCCGCAGGGCAATCAACTGAGGGCCGATACGCGGAGGTCCAGCCTGCCACCCGCGGCTTCGCTGACGTTGCATGACCCGAGGCGCTAAAGGGTGATGGCTGATTTCCTGAAGTCTTTTCCCACCTCGGCAGATTCGGCTCCGCCGCAAAGCTGCACTGGTATCGATGAAAGAGTCACGACT